CCTAAAATTCATCTGGAAACAGAAGAAACCTAGAATAGCAAAGACAGGAGGCATCTCAATTCCTGACTTGAAACTGTACTACAAAGCCACAGCGATAAAATCAGCGTGGTACTGTCAAAGAAATAGACCTGAGGATCAATGCAACAGATTAGAAGATGCAACCACTACTACAAAGACACTCAGCCACCTTATATTTGACAAAGGGGACAAACATGTTGTCTGGAAGAAGGACAGCCTCTTTAATAAATGGTGGAAAAACTGGCATTCCACATGCCAAAGACTGATAATAGACCCATGCCTATCACCATACAGTAAACTAAAGTCGAAATGGATCAAGGATCTAAATATTAAAACAGAAACACTAAATCTACTGAAAGACAAAGTAGGTAAAAACCTTGAAGACATAGGGGTAGGAAGAAAATTCATGATAAAACGCAAACCACATGGGAAATACTTCAAAGAATCAACAACTGGGATCTCATATTACTGAAAAGTTTTTGCACTTCAAAAGAAATCACCAAAAAGTGAAAATAAAACTTACAGAATGGGAAAGAATTTTAGCCAACAATTCTTCAGACAAAGGACTTATATCCAAAACATATAAAGAGCTGAAAAACATCAAGTACCCCAAATTCAAAGACCCGCTCCAAAAATGGGCATCAGAGACGAACACACAGTTCTCAGATGAAGATATACAAATGGCAAATAAATGCATGAAGAAATGTTCACCATCACTGGTCATTTGAGAAATGCAAATTAAAACAGCATTGAGATTTTCATCTCACCAGGCCTGGAAAGAATGGCTGCCATCAAGAAAACAACTGATAACAAACGCTGGCAAGGATGGGGAGGGCGGGGGGAAGGACCTCTTTTCCACTGTTGGTGGGAGTGCAGACCAGAGCAACCATTATGGAAATCAGTATGGAGATTCCTAAAAAAGCTAGGATTGGAAGTTCTATTCAATCCAGCTATTCCCCTCCTGGGTATTTTCCCAGAAAAATTGAAAGGATCATGTCAGAGAGATATATGTGCACCCATGTTCACAGCAGCAGAATCTGTGATAGCTAAATCTTGGAAACAACCAAAATGTGCATCAGCTGTAGGGTGGATGAAAAAAATGTGGTATTTTTATACAATGGAGTACTACTCAGTTATAAAAAAGATGATCTTGAGGTCTTTATAGGTAAATGGAGGTAACTTTGAAATATCCTCATAGGTGAAATAAACAAGATTCACATTAGTAAATATCACATTGTCTCTCTACTGTAAGAAACAACAAAAACTGACAGAATAATGGGATCCATAAAGTATAATAGATACTATGAAAGTATAATAGTATGTAGAGTGTGTAAGATAAATGACTATATTCCTGAATTTCTGTTGATCATTAAACAGAAGGATTTGTACTATCAATGTTTGAGTGTTTAGCCATTATTTGTGCTTTCATTTTGTGACTTTGGCAACTATTTTTTAAGATGACAAGGAGAAATATAACAACTAGCAATTCTACGATGATAATTTTTTAATTCAGTATTGTTCTACACTTCTGTTTTTCTATTTTCTTTAATATTCTTCTCTTAAGTCAAAAAAGTGAACAATATGCAATATAACAACCATTGGTAAATTTCCTTCCTTCAGTTTTGAAGACCTGAATTGTTATTGTTTTGAATCTGCTGTTGTTGTTTATGCCTTTTGCTTTTTGTTTTCCTTTTCTGACTTTTCTCTCTTTTTAAATAAAATTTTTCTAAAAATGCTGTTGTGCTCTTTCAATTTAAAAGGCATGGAGGTGGCCACAAATGCTTTGGACAGACTCCTAACAAGAGAGGTTTACATGAAGCAGGGAACCGACGTTTAAATGCTCACTTAGGAAAACTTGCAAGCACCATTCTTTAGGACCATATGACAGCCTGGTTATTATTTTCTCCTTAAAGAAGAGGGATCCTGCGGAAGGATTTGCTCCAGTGACTGAGCTGGACAAGGGCCTCAAGCATTCACAGGCTTGCAGGAGTCACTGAATGCAGACAACTCTTGGGATCTGGACCCAGGAGTTGAAGACCTGTGTTCGAGTCTCAACCCTGTCATTCGAGGAAAAGCTCTGGTCTCAGTTTCTCTGCTGGGACATGAATGAAATGAATTAGATGATCTGTCTTCAAAAGTGTACCTCCAGAATTCCACATAGGGAGAAAACTTACAGGTTGCTTATTTTACTGTTTGAACACCAAGTAGGATGTAGAAGTTCATTCCTTTGATGGCATTCCAAACTCTGCATTACAATTTCATTTTGTGAGAGAAAATCCACCTGGAGTAATATGCCTGGATGTCTAGTTTTAGTTCACAAGAGCCTTTTTTGTTGTTGTTGTTGCAGAAAGATCTTAAAGTTACCATTCAATCACCTAGATCAGCATTTAAAAACATGTTCCATTCCCAGGGGGAACTGACTGACAAAATTTGAAATTATGTAGCCTAAAAGTTCCTTTCTATATTTCAGACCCTTGATCCCAGCCCAACCCAGAGTGCTTCCGAATGAACTAGAAGTGGGTGTCTCTATCTGGGGAATGATGAAGTACTTCCTTCCTTGAGGGGCTGAGTGAGCTCTTCACCACTCCCACGCCCTCACAGGCTACCTCTCCGAGGCCTGGAGTCGAGTTTCCCTGCAGCTCACAGACAGCAGGCTGCCTCCCAGAGGTCCCTCCACGTACTGCAAGCCCTTCCACACTCACATCTTACCATGCCTTGCCCCAGGTGCAGGTTTTGCACTTACAGGCTTTGATGTCTGTCCTGCAATGCTTTGGTCCAGTTCCTTTCCACCTGTTTATTTCTCCCTTTTGAAATGGGCCTGTTTGCCCTGTGCCTTTGAATGTCATCAGTATCTAACTTCCAATTTTTCTTCATTTTTTATTTTTATAGGGGCTCACAGCTGAGTTTGCCTTAAATTTCAGAGATTTTTGGACTTGATTTTTCATCAGTGCTGAAATTGTTATGACTCAAAACTTTTCAAGATGGACTAAATTCATTTTGCAGAGAGGGATGCCCATGTGTCTTTGGGGAGCCAGGGATAGAATGTTATGATGTGTATCCAGAGGTCACCCCAAAGTCTCAGGTACTCAGGGGTGGAGGCAATTGGATCATGTGGCCTGATGCATAGAGCTAAATGTGATGATGGGAGGTGAAGATTTGTCAGAGGAGGTGGGTCCCTGGCAGTGTGCCCTGGAAGGGTCTGTCTCCCTTCTTCCTGGTTGCTTTCGCCCCGCTTCCCACTGCCGTGCCATGAGCTCTTTCTCTTCTGCCACACTCTCTGCCATGCTGCCCTACCTTGGAAGCAACTGACTATGGACTGAAACCTTTCTCCCTTTAAATTGTAAATGTTGGAGTATTATGTCTCAATGAGAACAAAGTAATATACAAAGATGACACACCCTTTCTTGATCCCCAAAATCTCCCCTGAGGACACAGAATTCCTGGAGCTAACTTCAGCATGACCTCCATGTTCAAGGGCAAGGGCTGTAGAACCTTCCGGTTTGGTACGGGCATGAAGAGGTTCACCGGCTGTGAGCCAACTAATTTTTGCATCAATGATTTCACCTCACCCAAAGCCCTTGAGACCACCTGGAGCATTTGTAGATGGAGGTGGGAAATGAGTCAGATTTTGCACCTTCCTAAAAACCCTGATAATTTCAGTCACACCTAGATTCATTAATGGTCCATGAGAAACATAAACAACTTGTAGTTGAGGCTTGGATAATCAAATACTCCCAAGGCTAATTATAAAAGAAGAAGTCATATAATTCCACCAAGGTAGGATAGTCAGCATGGTGCCCGTGGATAAACCAGTGGCACTGAGGGTTTATGGGTTACTCACTGCAGCTCTGCTGTTTCTGCCTGCAGAGCTGGAACCAGGTTATGGAGTAATTCTTTATGCCTTAGATCTGAGGTGTTCCCCAAAAGCCTCGTGTGTGTCAGGTGGGTGGGTCATGGGGTCACTACGCCTGACTTGGCTTTAGGAGGCGGAGCTTGGTCAGCAGAGGCAGATCTCTGTAGGTGTGACCTGGACTGCTGCACAGCCCTCCCTGGCTCCTCCTTCCCTGTCTACTTTTCTACCACTATGATGTAAGCAGCTCTTTCCCACTAGGCCCTTCCACCATGCTGCTTCTGCCTTGAAGCTGGCCAACTGTGCGTGGGCGGAAATCTCTGAAATTGAGCCAAAACAAATCCTTCCTGCTCTAAGTCGTCATTTCAGATAGTGTGTCCTAGTGATGGGAAAGTGACTAAGACACACTCCAAGTCTACCTGTCCTGCTCTACGACAGGAGTGGAGATGAGAGTCCAGGAATAAGCCCATCCTAGGACATGGCAGACAGTGCTGCTGTGTCCTCTGAGTCTCTCCCAGACCCCTGATGACTGGTAGACAACTCTTTCAACACCTGATGTCTCTCTGTCAGTGACATCCACTGGGATTTTTTTCCAGGTTGGACACTGTGCCTCACCTTAGGGACTCCATATCCAACAACAGAGTGTGTTTTCCAGTCACCCCCCCCCCATGGAGTTGGCGCTGCAGCAGATCAAAGTCAGAGTAGCAGCAACTGCTTTCACTGGATTGCCACTGGTCATCTCTTGTTCCCAGAGTGCATCCATATCCATCTGGAATCTGTTAGAGATGATAACACAAGGGGATGCTGGTGCCAGAAACACAAAGATAAGTCTCCTTCTCTCTTTCCTTTACTATTCAGCTTCTCCCACAGGACCTCACCATGTAACAGCCTATCTAACTTACTGCTAAACTTCTAATCACTGATAGCATGAATTCTGGTCTTAGACTACCTGAGTTTAAATGCTGCTCTGCCTCCTACAAATGGGAAACACACTTCCCCTCTGGATCTCAGTTTCTACATCTGTAAAATGGGAGTGATAAGTGTACCTTCTTAATAGGGTAGTGATAAGGATTAAATGCGTTTACACATGTGAAGTACTTAGAACAGTGTACAGAATGGCACCCCAACTATATGAGTGTTGGTCATTTTATTACTTCTCGCATATCTTCAGCAATAGTTAGCAGTGTTCTCCAAACATGCAATGTCAGGGTAAAGAGGAGAGAGACCGCCCTGTCAGCTCTCCTCTCAGAACGTTAAGTGAGTTCACCAGCTTGCAAAACACAGATGTATTGTCCTCTTTTCCTGCCTGTTTGTTGTAATCCCAGAGTAGCTCTGTCCTTCCTGTTTTAGGGACAGTTCCTCTTTCTCTTGAACTTTCTGTTTACTCACATTTCCGTGTATTCATCCTTCCTGGGTACACAGAGAGAAATACATATTTTATAAACAGATATATGTGTATAGCAGAGATTATAATAAAATATAATATTTAAAGACCCAAATACCCAAATACATCAGTCCCACCAACATCACTGTCAACTCCATTCAGTGAGCCAAGGAGAAAGGCAGTTCTATAACTCTTACACTTCCTAAATACAGGAAGCATATAGATGACCTCTCTGGGCTTTTAAATATTTGCCCTCAGTAGCCTTCTATTTGAAAGCTACAATAACAGAGGGTATGGGTTACAGTAGTTCTCCAGGGTAGATCTGTCTTGGGTAAATTTATGGAAACCGAACCAGGCAACACCTTCACTGACCCCAAGCCCCAGTCCTCACAGCCTCACAGCCTGTTGGAAGCCAAGCCCTTCATCCTGTAGCCCACGGCGGAGGACATGGTAGAGAAGGCAGCAGTGCTACGACCATGGACGTGTGCAACTCTAAGCCTTTCTCGTGCCCCCTCCAGTGTGCGCATCTGTGTGTGACCAGGTATCCAGACATTTCCAAAGGTACCCATCAGCTTCCAAGTAAAGGCCCATAAGTTGACGCTTTCTTTTCTTTTTCCACCAAACCTGTTCATGTGGAAATAAAAAGATTTTTAAATCTACAAGTTGGAAAAAAAAAGCCTTAAAAAAATTTAAATCAGTTGCCCACATTAAAGGAAGACCCTTTTATTCTACATCCGTAGCTAGAAGATCAAAAATAGGAATAATTAAAGCCTGAGATGTAAACTGTTAAGAAAGGCATTTCTTATTCTCTTTGCCAAGTACTTAAACAGGTAAACCACATTTAAAAAAAAAAAAAACATGATCTGAAAATCCCAATGGGAGTCTTTTTTCATGTTTAAGACATAATGAATTCTGTCTTCAGAGACCATGGAGCAGGGTTGTTAAGCTTTCTGAACTGTCAGTTGAATAATTATCCAGCAAAGCCTGTGTGTAGGTGACTCCCTGTGATTCAGCTTCTTTCCTGTTTTGAAACAGAAGGTTATTAACCTCTGGAACAAAATTTGGCAAAGTCAGGAACATCAGTTTTATGCAAACAGTATTTCCTTTTTGTGCCTTCCTTTTTATCCTATGATATTTAACTTTTAAAAGTCTTATAAATATACCAAACTCTGCTCAAATACCCTTCACAAATGCCCCAGAGAACATGTAGAGTTTGTCGTAAAAACAAAACAAAACAAACATCCTTTTCTAGGATCGCTCGCATCAAATGAACTGTATGTCAAAACCATGAACAATTTGACAATTTCCATTCCAAAGAAAAGGGGAAGCTGACACACTAAGGGTCATATGCAAAATCAGTATTCTGGGGAAACATCTAATTACTGCAAAATTTATTGGTCTTTTAGTATGATTATAATTTTAAGTTGTGACTTCAAAAATCTCTGAGCACTTGGGTGTTACTTCCTAAAGTCTCCCTGTTGAGACCGAAGCTGTAGCTTCCCTTTAATCTCAAAGTAATCTGAACAGCTGAATTATGGTTCATCTTGTTGCTTCACAGGGCTGCTCATCATATTTTGAAACTCATTCAGTCAGCCTCTTTTCCCACAGAACGCCACCTACCTTCAAGGAAGACAATGTGTGTCATTATCCTAATCCGAATGAGGAAAAGCTGAGCCATAAACCTGGGATCAGATGCAAAAACCAAAACAGACCAGCAACAGTTGCTGTCTTGTGGATATCCCAAAAACATCTTGCAAGGTGCCAGACGGAAACACTGACCACACCTGACCAGGTGGGAGAAATGGAATTTGTGCCACGGAATTCAAAATGCATTCACTGAGCACGGAAGAGACAGGTTAATAGCCTATCTGTTCCAGAGCTCTCCGGCTTACCCCGTGTGTAGTCAAACAGGATACTATGTTGTTGTTTGCTATAAAAGCAGAAAACTACTACTGTTCCTGCTGATGCCTGGATCATCTGCCACAAACCAAAATGGGCCTGAATCATTGTTTCACGGTCAGAGTGGGCTTGGAGATGAAAAAAGGACCAAGAACAGGAATTCCATCTTGGATTCTGTCCCTAGCTAAATATCACCCTTGCATCGCTATCCATGCAGAGAAAGGGGGTTGGCGAATCATCAAAGCAGTTGCAACCGTTCCTCAGGGTACCTTACTTCAGGACTCATCAGGGTGCACTGTAGTTTAGGGCTGGAACCTGGTTACCACACTATCTGCACCAGACAACCAATACACAAAGGAGCAATTCTGCAACCATAAGCCTGGTAGCTTCCCTCTGGAATCAGGAGTTAAGGAGTTAGAATGATTTCCTGTACTCTGATTTTTTTTCTCCAGCCCTAGAAATGTACATGTCTCTGTGACTTCCTCTTCAAAACAAGCTACCAATTGCTCAGGAAACCTGCATCCTCACACCCACACTTCCAGTCTGGAATTGGTATTCACCTCCTCTCTTTTGCATCAGTCCCCTTGAATGTTTCTCTCGTCAAATTTTCAAGTCCTTGTAAAAATGGACTCCTCAGGCCTCCTGTGCTGATGTCTTGAAGTTCCCAGGTTAGACATGAAGATTAGGTTAGGCACTGATTAGTCTACAATGCCAGTTATAAATAGATGGCATACTTACCCAAATCCATGAAAGCACGGCAGCTTCCATCCTCAGGGCCAGCCTGCCTTGGTAATGAGAAAAATGGCACACATGGTCAGTTCATAAAAGATGCAGAGACAATATTTCAGCTCAGCCAGAAACAGGGATTCCTTTAACCTCCTTGTATTCTTTGACAATATCAGCTTCACGGCTTCTGCAATTGTTCATGTCACCAAATTATATTGCAGCCAACCGAGTCTTTTCCTGATGCCAGAAGACACACCAAAATCTGTCTTTATCCCTCTACTCCACTTTATTTGTTTCTAAACACTAGACCAATGGCATACTTGCATTGTTTTGGTGAAAGTGGTAGTACCTTGACTCACAAATTTAATTCATTCTACATTTTGGGGGAAGATGGCCATGACTTGTTTCTTACAAGACACAGAGTTTATGCATGGAAGTGAATATTTGCTGAATACTTCTGTTCATGAACCAAATTGTTTGCACACAGAAGAGTTCATGAAGCTGTAGGTATCACTATAGGTATCCAGCTAGAGGTCACTTTCAGAAATCTCTTCAGTTCTACAAAATTTATCCAATCAAATCACAACAAAAAATGCAACAGGTTGACATCAATTGGGCAAGGGACTAAAATAACAACCTAATTTTGATAGTGGTTGGAAATGTTATTTTAAATTTTGGCAAACCTAAGCCATTTTGACTTACAGTCTTAATAGAGGGTCTGTGGTCAAATGTTGCAGTGTGGACTCATCTCATCTGACGTGTTTTGTCATAGCTCTGTCTATGGATTGATGCCTGTATAATACGTCATAAAGCTTTCCTGAATATTTAGGAAATAATTTTCAGTATTTTTCTATGAAGCTCTTAGACATTTTGTATTGTTTATTCCTGGGTAATTTAGAATTTGTAAATGTCATTTGCTAATGTCTTTTTTTTTCTCATGACATTTTCACAACTGCTTATTAATGGGGAACAGTATCTGTCTAGTTGCTGAATTATCTTATTCAAATCATTTCTCAGTTGATTAGCATGGATTTTTCTAAGTAGACAGTTGTGCTGTCTATAAATAAAAACAATCTTGCCACTTCTTTATCAATACTTGTATTTTTTTATTTTTAAAATCCCATTGGAGGACACTGAGACACAAATACAACAGAGTCACATTAGCTAGATAGAGGTGGAGCTAAGGATGGTGAATCAGTAAACAGCAAAATACAGAGCTTCCCTTAAAGAAACAGCTCAGATGCCAGAATAAAACATCCTAAAGAAGACAAGATGGAGGGAGATGGATCCTCTTAACCCAGGAAGAAACTAAAGGAAAAGGAGTTGGTCAAAGTCACGGCACTACCATTGGGGCACCTCAGATTCGTGGCCATGGTGCTCTCACTGGAGCCGCCCAGACTCCAGGGTGTGGCGCACTCACAGCCAGAGCCTCAGTCATGCTGAAGTTGGGGGTCAGTGAGCCCAACAGAAAACAGAGCCAGTGTGGAGACCTGCACTAACCCATGGTGAGTGCTCAGAATAAGACTCTCCAATGGGAAAGGGGAGACCAACTGGATGACATATTGGAATTGGGCAGGACGCGCATGAAAAAGGAACAACAGTAACTTCAGTTGATTGGTCCCTACCCAGAGCAGATTGGTGGGATCTGTCTGCTGTGTCATGCCCCTGGCTGGGACCCAATAGCCAGGGATGACATTGTCCCCAAAGTTGTCCCAACCAGTTCCATACACCCGGCACACACTAAGATGGTGAGGGCCCCTGCTGATTGCCTGGCTCATAGGGGAGGGACCAGCACACACTGCCCCTGCTTGCATCTCAGTGGTCAACAGCAAACTGGAGAGGGCAAAAACCCCTAGCCAGTGTGCTTGTTATTCCAAGCCATAACCAACAAGGAAAGGGGCTGGGACCTCCACCATACACCTATATGGAAGAAACCAGAAACATGACAAGAGAAAGAAATAAGAAAAGCCCCCAAGCCCCCAACCCAGTGAATATTGATCCAGGAGAGATAAATACAAAAGAGACTGAGGGCAGCAAACATGCAATATCAGACACAGCATCAGCTGACATAAAGAGATATCTTTGTGACATCATAGACAAGCTCAAAACTGAAATATTAATTCAAGTAAAGCAAGATATAAGAAGATTAATAAAAGAAATGCTAAGCACCTCTCAAGAAGACACAGATGGAAAAATGGAGGAACACAAAAAAAGGAGAGAAATGTTTGATGAAGAATATAAAGAAAATCTAGAATACATGAAACAGATTCAAAGAGATTACCAGGAAATTAAAAATTCCCTCAAAAGCTAGAAAAATTGCCTGACAGAAACTAGAGATAGATTAACAAAACTTGAAGATAGGTTTGCAGTGTCTGATCATGAAAGATCTCTTAAAAATAACAAGGAAAGAAGCAATAACAATACAAAGGCTAGAAGACAAGAGGATTTATAACTTAAGAATAAAAAATGTGAGTGAAGAAACAGGGGTAAACATAAATGAAATGCAAAAGCTATTCATGAAATAATTAAGGAAAACTTCCCAAGCATAAGAAAAGGAAATGATATTCAGATGTATGAGGCATACAGAACTCCAGCCACCTACAACCAAATCAGATCTACACCAAGACATATAATAATCAAGATCCCAGAAATTCATCACAAGAACAGAATATCAAAAGCTGTCAAAGAAAAGAAACAGAATACCTATAAAGGAAAACCCATCAAAACCATAATAGACTTCTTGACACAAACCATCAAATCAAGAAGAGCATGGAGTGAAATATTCCAAGCCTTGAAAGAAAATAACCTCCAACTCAGATTGATGTAGTCTGCAAAACTATCTCTCAAAATTAATGGAGAAACAAAATGTTTCCATAACAAGGAGGAACCAGGGGAATTTTTGGCCATCAATCCAACCCTAAAAAAATACTGAAGGACATTCTAGAGAGAGAGAGAAAAAAAATACCAGGATTCCAGCAACAGTGGCAGAGAGGCCTCAATGAATGGGGCAGACAGTAGAATGAAGGAGAAAAGTAGACAACCAATGATAGAAAAATAGCATATCAGAAATGAGACAGAGAAGGTTGGCTATAATCTCTAACACAGATGGCCTTGACGCACTAACAAAAAAAAAAATACAGGCAGAGTAGACAGGCGGTAGGGCCAATTGATATGTCTGTATAGGAAATATAATTAGCCTGAAAGAGGGTTTAAGGACTGAAAATCAAATATGAGAAAACAATGCTCGATATGACAGGGAACCAGAGAGAAACAGGGGCAACTTGACCAGCATCTACAGACAGGTTAGAAAGACATGATACTTCTGTGCAGTAGAGAACTACTCAGCTATAAGGAAGGAAAACCTTGAGACTTTTGTAGGTAAAGGAATACAACTTGAGATCAAGCCCAGGAGTAAAAAGGTTCAGAACCACTTAGGTAAATATGTTAACCCCCCCAGTCTAAAAACTGAAGGAGTTGGTGGGACCCAAAATGTGCAGTGTACCCTGTGGGAGTAAAAGAGGAAGAATTGTCTAAAAAGGAAGGCAGAGGATATTGTTAATAGTGTAACAGGATTTAAAATCCACATTATTCTCACCACTCTGTTTAGATGGATTGAATTCTGTTCCAGTCTGTCTACTTGCACTAGATTTGAGGGCATAGACAGCTACCCCAAAAATAGCATGATATATTAGGGTAATCATCCTTAATTTCCTATTAACATAATCTGAAGCCCTGTATAACTTACACTGTCTTATTATGACTAATCTTATTTGAATCTTGTTTGTTAGATTGCTGTTTTGTATTGACTGATTTTATTTGAGTCTGTTATGATTGATAGTATCAAGTCTGAGAATATAGGCAATTACACTGAAAATGACAAGATTCACTAGGATAGCCACTCTGATTTGAAGTCTTATAATGTCTTCAATGTTTCATTTTTATTAATATTGTTATGTACTGCTAAATTCAATTATACTATGCCTGATGACATAGACAATTCTATTGAAGATAACAAGAGACAACACAGTAACCATTGTAGATCATCTTGTATTGTGCTTCTATATGACTTTTTCATTTCATATTTTCTAGGAACTTGTTTTCTTTTGTCTTGCTTTGTTTTGTTTTTCCCTCTAACACAGCAATGATAGATATGCATGTAGAGACTCATGCATGTGTAGAAATTATAAACAGGTTATGAGAACTGATCATCTAACTCATGATGAAATGAACAGCTACTTTGAAGAAAAAGAGCCACTACAGTACCCAGTGCTGATTCCATAGCGTCATGATGTGAAATCCAGCAATAACTATTATTCTTTGTTCAGAGTGATTTTAGTCTGTTTTGTTTAATTTCAATATATGTGAAGGTATGGACAGCTATTTGGAAGAGAATGAAAGACACTATGGCAGCCATTGTGGACTTTCTTATTGTCCTGTCCTGAAGACCTAAAAGGCCTTCATCATCCTGTTTGGATTGGTTTTATACTATGTTGTTTTGTATGAATTCACTATATCTGAAGATATGGACAACTACTTGGGAGAAAACAAGAGACGATATGATAGTGAAAATTTTTGGTTATCTTGCTTTGAAATCTATGTCTCTTACATTGCTTTCTTGGGTTCTGATTCATTCTGTTTTGTTGTGTTCAGTTTTATCCTCTTTAAAATAAAAAAAACCCAAAGTAACAACAACAACAACAAAACAAAGTAGCTATATAGAAATGATGCCTGTGGAAATATTTCTGAACCAAAATCTGACTGAAGGTAGAAGACTTCCAGTCCACTTAATACTCCTGCCAGAAAGTTAAAAATAAAATTAAACATAAGTTTTAAAAAGTCCCATTAGCTAGTTATTGAGCTATAACATTGGTGTCTGTCTTTGTTTTTGATTTTGACTTGTGGTTCACAGTTACATTTGCATATGCTTTCTTCCCATTATTAAAATGAAGGTATCTTTATTCTATTTCTTTCTGTTTTCTTCTAAATCTTGAGTGGGTCTTTGTTGAATACATTAGAAGTTTTTCTAAATCTATTAAGACAGCGATTTCTCCTTCTAATT